AACTGAGCTCCAACTGGACAGATTCTCTCTGTTCTGCTGCAGCTCTTACTGCATGGTGTCATAAATGTGTAAACAAGGAGCCAGTTTGGAGAAAATCAGGAGTAAAAAGTATAAATATGGGTTCATATGTAGGTTGGAAAAGTTTAAAGTCCTCAGAAGAATGTGCGCCCATGTAAAGTAGAGATAGTTAAGTAGAGTTAGTGAGTAAAGATACTGAGGATCTCTGAATGTATCCAGATGTTGGTCTGACTGGTCAGTGAGGCGCATGGATCATAGATCTATGATCTATAGACCATTAAATGTTTGTGTTTGGCTGTTATTATTTTTCTGTGGCGTCTTACTGAGATCTTTGCTGTCTTCCGTCTGCTCCAGCTGTGAGGTGGAGGCTGCAGGTTCAGGGGTCACCAACCCGACTCCTCCTCCAGGATCTTCAGCTTCGACCTTCATCATCTCAGGCATCTTCGCTCCACGTGAGGTTTCCCTTTAATAAAATTAGGGGTACCTTTTTTTTAATTATTATTATTCTAACCATCATATAAAACAGAGATTTTATCTGCATCAGGTGTATATAAAGCTGAAAAACCTGGAGAAGCCGACTCAGGTTGCTTCCATATTTATAGAAAAGACATAAGAACAAAACAAGAACACAAAGAAAAATAAACACATTAGGGGTGTCTCATCTACGAGGATTAGGATCACTGGGAAAAAATATATTAACTGAATTCAGACTTTTTTTCTCAAAGTCTGACTTTAATGTCAGAATTGTGGATCTTGATATAGATTGGCACCATGAAGGCTGAGATGTGGAGCATTAAATATTTGGGAGAAAAGCTTTAATCATTTTTTTTTTTTATTCACTTGTAGTTATTCTCAGGTTATTCTCAGAGTGACAGCTTTCAGTCAAAGGTTTGGTTTCTCTCTCTAATCTCTCTGACCTCAGATGGACAATGATGTCCACTGACCGTCTATAAACACCATCACATTTAACTGACCGTGAGAAGCTAAAACAAGCTTTCAACATTTTAAACGTTGAAAAGCTTCTTTAGCTAAAGCTAACCAAGATGAACATTTCAGTTGGAGCTAAATAATCCCAGCGGTTCTAAACAAACAGGAAAAAGCGATATTCCCTAAAGAGCAGAGAATGGAGACATCAGAGGGTTTTACTTTATGCTATCTGCAGCTAGCATGTCAGGCTAACGCTGCTTCCTGAATGAGACCCAGAACCCAACCTGAGGAAAAACACCAGAGAGGCACAAAGATAGAAACACAATACCAGACACGCTTCTTGTTGTTTCTCCTCCTCCTCTTCTTCTTCTTTTAATGGCGGCTGGCAGGCGACTTATTGATGCGAATTACCGCCACCTACTGGGCTGGAGTGCGGATCGGGACGCTATTTATATATATATAAAGTCTTCCATATGAAGGACCAACTCTGCCATATTTAAAAATAAATACAGAAATAACAAAAAGTGAGACATAAATGTATATAACTCTTAATTACCTTCTTTATTTATTTGCCTTTGTAATATTTACCTTATTTATTTTTCTGTCCTTTATAATCTTCAACTTTATTTTTTAATTACTTATATTTTTAAGTAGGGGCGGATCTAGGAAAATATTTATGGGGTGGTGAGAGGGGGGGCAGGAATTTTTGAAGGGTGGCAACATATGGCTGTTGTTTATTCTTTATTTAATCACAGTTATAACAGTTTGTACAGTACGTGTTTCATGTGGAACAGTTCATATTAGGAATATATCATGTGATCTTACTGAATAGGAGATAAAAGTATAATAACATGACTTCAGGTGGGGCATTATCACAGGACAGGGATCTACTGCTGGGGTGGCAGCCAATAAATCTCTCTCTCTCTCTCTCTCTCTCTCTCTCTCTCTCTCTCTCTCTCTCTATATATATATATATATATATATATATATATATATATATATATATATATATATATATATATATATTTTCTATCAAAGAACTCTGAAGGTTAGCGCCTGATTTCAGGTCCTCAGATAAGGACCGGATGCTGATCGCTGAAGGAGCCAATAATTACACTGAATTAGATGTTTATTTACTTTATTATGTGTATATTTGATTTATTTTTCTTCTAGATGAACCAAAATGATAACTTTGAGACCAATTACCCCTTTGACTCATCAAATGAAACAGAGAAAGATATTCTGGAAAGCTTTAAGGATTATTTTTAGAATACTAAATGTTACATTAAAGTGTTGATGACACAATTTTCAAAGTTTCTAGTATTTTTTTGTAGACCAAAACATTAATATCAAGAAACAGGTTTTATCAAAAAAACCTCTGGCATTCAGAGAGCTGCAGCACCGCTCAGTGACTGAGAGAGAAAACAGGAGAGAAGTTTGCAGGAGAAGCTGGAACAGCTGCAGAAGTTTTCATGGATTTAGAAACAGTTTTTCCTTCACATTCTGTTTCAGCTTTTTGCTTCAGCCACCATAAAGATGGCGCCTGCTTTTCTAACTTTCCTAAGGATCCTAAACTGCTTTCAAAGTGACTGAAGCAAAATTAGATCAGGAGAACTTGGAACGCTCCAAAAGCATTTTCTTGTCAAAATGTTCCAAACACTGCTGTGCCGCCATCTTTACTTTTGTATAAAGACCCAGATGGACACACATAGACCTTCTTTAAATATTGTTCTCTTATTTCTCCTCTATTCCTATCCATCCGAGTAGAATGGAAATGTTTCATTTTGTTGTCATAAAAAAGAATGAATGAGTGAATGAATGAATTAATGACTTTATTTCAGACAACCATGTAAAATTGTAAAACTACCAAATGCAAACATTATCTATAACCAAGAAAGTATATACTGTAATTTTGTGCTATTGTTTGAGGGAGGAACAAAGAGGTGTAACGTTTTTAACCATCACCCTTCACCTTACTACGGTCCTTAACACCAAAGATCTTCCTGGTTCCCATTTAACTTAAGAGTCCATACTACACAAAAACCAGTAAGTGAGGAAATAAATTAATCAGATGATGCACATATAGACATACATATTCCCATTCACAACTTCAAGCCTGCAATTATTATCCACAGCCCAAGCAATCAGAACCAGTGCAAAAACACCTTTATCCCTGTTCACAATGAGTACCTGCTGCTCAGAAAGGCCTCAAACATTAACGGCCTTTTTCACCTGTCTGTTTCCCTCATTAGAGTTAGCTGCTTAGTTGAACTGGATTTGCTTTGTAAGCCTGCAGGAAGAGGTGCTGCATTCAGAGCCACTGGATGCGCCATCGCTGATAACTTTTTGAACCCCAAAGACTTCGGACCTTTGGAAGACACCTCTTCCATCCTTTTTGCACTTTGACGCCTCAACCTTCAGGATTGCCTGAGACCCTGAGAGCTGGTTTAGTCCAGTATCACCCTGAGCTAGGCTAACCTGGTTCCCATTCACGGCTCCTGCAGGGAGCATGCCTTTAATAAACATATTCTGAGAAGTAAAGACCAGGTTTTCATTGGTCCCCATGCTGTCCATCAGCACCATCTCTGGGCTCTGGGTTTGAGCTCTGTGCATCACTGTCTGACCTTGAACAGTAGCTACCTGGGATGACCCGATGTTAGTGCCGGTAACCATGAACATGACATTCTGAGGGGGCTGCTGAACAACATAGTGCACGGGCTGAATCACAGGTATGGCTGTAGAGTAGACAGGCTGCTGTTGCTTTAAAACTAGCATCCTGTTCTGATGTTCCATCCCTGCTTGTACTGAGTGCATCTCTTCCCTCACTGTGGCCTTGCTCTCCCTTATCTCACTATGCTCTGTTATTTCACTGGCTACAGTCTGCTGCACTTTGGATGAAGAGGACATCGCTTGGCTTGTCAACAAATCTCCCTCTGACATTTGAATTCTGCCTGAAGAATAGTCAGATAGGGGAGTATCCAATCTCGTTATCTCAGTTTGAGTTTTTTTGGCTCCACATATTTCAGCAAGTGTTTTAAATTTGATCCCAAGATCATCCAAGAACTGCATATCGTTGTCTAATGCGAGAGAACTGCAGCAGCCCACAGAGCCAGCAACGGAACCCTCGCCTTCATAGCCATACGCATGCGGGCCGTCCTCTTCTACCCCAAGGAGCTCATTTCCCCTGGTTTTCTGTTGGTAAAATAAGAAATCATCAGTTATTTTAATATTTGCATGAAACAAAAAGAAAAATCATCAACTTGAAATTCCATAATTACAAAATGTTCTTGAATTATGAACATTGTTCTGAGATTATTAAACACATAGAGAGAGGCAGCCATGTTCACCTCTCCAAACCCTGGAGGGGGTCAGAACTGCCGCTACATGCGGCTCTTTAGCGCCCCCCCCCCCCTTGCGGCTCCCTTTCAAAAATTTATGAAAATAGATTTTTTTGTTTGTGTATTTTAATATGGTGTGCAGGAGGTCAAACAAATATTCACTCTATTTTCCAACGTTGTAAAAATCTATATAATAAATAAATGTAAACATTTCTGTCAATGAAAATTTGCATCCTAGCCGTTTATATACTTCAGTTGTATTTACAACTTATAGTTTGGGAGCTGAACTGTCTTTAATTCACATGTGGAATTTGCTGATCAGTCCCTCAGTGCTTAAGGGGTTAATAAGCCCCGGTAAGCGTCAGTAGACCCCTCTGCCTATCTAATATTTTCACGATGTTCGTTATTAGAATCTACTCGCCAACAAGGCGCGTGATGCATGTTTTCTCTACAAACATTCTTCATTTAACTCTATCAAAAGTTCTGATTTGCTTGTGCAGAGACAGGGTGCACTGCTGATCTTAGAAAGATGATTGCAAAGATGTAATTGTTGGGATCCTGAGGTTTGCCCACCAGAGGGCGCCGAGGATTCCTTCCTGGGGATTTTTTGTTACTGTTGGGATCTGGGGTTCTGTCTACCTTTTCTCCACCAGAGGGCGTAATGGATCTCCTGAAGCTGGTGCTGACTTCACCAGCTGTTCTTCATCTGCTCATCAGGAGACCAGCATTTAAGTGGGCTGAGGACCACACTCCGGTGCCAGAGTGTTAGTCAGTCTCGGTACAGCAAACCCTGAGCCAACCTGTCCTTCTAATCCTTCGACTTCGAAATCTGAACCTGATCTTTTTGTCTTCTCTGTTTCCCAGGTTGAACCTGCCAGAAACCAGAAACCCCTGGAGAATTCCTCTGTTGGAGATCTGTCTGTCTGACCTCAGAAGAACCCTGGAGAACCAAACCTGCCAAAGATCTGCTAGCCTGCCCCCTGAAGAATCAGGAAGAGAAACTCAAACCTGGTGATCTGTAGTCTCTAAACCAAGCTCAGCCTCCACCAAGTTCACAGCCTGCCCCCACCCTGTGAACCCTCCTGGTTCCCTCTGCTGCCCCTCTGCTCAACCTCCTGAACTGTAAACCCAGTCGTGACCAGCTCTGGACCTGATTAC